GCAATCAAAAAATGTTTACTGAAATGAACCGAGGATGAACATTTTCTCTCTCAGAAACAGAAAGGAATGAAGATAAAAATTGGAAAGATACACTTAGATCTTGAGGTACGAAGATTATTTAACTATAATGGCATCTCACTCAGTGAATTAACCCAATCTGATGAACCCTGGGCTTAGGTACAACCTCTCCTGGGAATCTTCTCCAACCCTCTGTACCACTCGCCAGGCCAAGGGGAGTATCTTCCTGTGGCATCCTTATCACTATGAGGACCTGAGAAGATGGAATTGGAAGTCAAGGACTCTGGGTTCTAATAATGCCTCCACCACTAACTGGGTACCCTTGAAAAGGAGCTTACTGATTGTGTGCCTCAGGTTCTTCATCCATAAATTGGGGATAAGAAAAACAACTAACTCATAGGATTACAGTGGTGGTCAAATAATACAATCAATACATGTGAAGCACAGACAAAAATGATTTTATATGTGGTTGTTTCAATACATACTACTATTTTTATACGATCCAATCATTTTATTTAGTGTAACAATTTAAAATACTATTTTTTAAATATAACCACAATATTTGAACAATATAACAATTTAGATGTATTTATTTATCCAGCAATGCTGTAAGCTACTTGAGAGCAAGGACTGTATTTTCTGTTTTAGCCTAGGAAAGTTTGTTGAAATTTTTATTTCATAAATTAGGAAGTAAAGTTATTAGTTATGGAGATGGCTCAGATGAGATTGCCAACTTGAAGAGAATTGCAAAAATAAGAAAGGTGTTAAAGAATCAATAAGAAAATCATAAATGGAATTACTTTTTAAGAGTAGGAGGAGGTTCCCTATATGCAGCTCCATTCCCCTGCAAACTCCCTCCCAAAATGACACTGAAGCAATAGAGGTATAATTTCAAAGGAACAAGGAAAACTCAAGATACCTACAGAACATAGGAAATGACTGATTTGTTTGAGAGGCAAAAGCTGGTACCTTCAGGCATGAAAATAAAGTCAACAAGAAGTAAGCGATGTTCTCCAAAGTTCCAGAAGGTCTT